CTTTATAAAAATGGTGTTCATCACTCAAATATAGTTGCAGAGACTCAGAGAATCAATGCCAAGGTGTATTGAAGCTGCCCTTTCAAGACATAGTGGCCTAACACCCAACTGAGACACTTGAAGGAGTTTTTCCTTTAATTTGTCACCTGCCTGGAGCATACATGTTCCACTGTTCCAGTACATTACAGTATTCGAGATGATTGTCGCTTCATATTGAAACCCCTCTCTTTAATTTGTGATTTTGAGGTTTATTCTTGATTAAAAGGAAAAACGTGAAACTGCCACATAAACCTATTTTGCTCTCAAGACTGGATCAATATATTACCCACCAACATGTTTGTTTTTGTTATATACTGTATAGTTTTTTCATTTTATTGCAGACTGTAATCAAAGTGCTGTGTAGTTGTTCCCACCTCGTTTGAACTTTACGTGCAAATAAAATATTAATGAAGCTCCTGAATTTGAGAGACTGAGAGTCATGTGTTTGCATGAGCGATGAGATGTTCTGGAAACACACGGCAACTCTTACAGCAGATACTTAAATGCAGTGCACCTCATCCTGTAGTCATAAAAAGTTGTCAAAAACCAAAGAAAAGTCCACAAAGCGCAACAGAGCCTCTTTCTGCATCAGTGGCAGTGCTGTACTTGTTGTCCTGCTCTGAACTCTTTAGTTCTCAACAACAGTATGAAATGGCACATTTAACAATGTGCCATAAGATGTTACATGAAAAAGGTTTTAGCGAATTAATGCTATCCATTTGTTTTATGACAAAGGCCACGGAGTATTATGAAGAGATTACCTTCCAATTTAGTTATTTTAGATTTCATGAAATGCCATTTTGAAAATTTAAGCACGGATGATAATCGGCCGTTTGCGGTGGTCTTTGTTGGATAACAGGCTTGTACCTTTTGGTCTCATATTCAATTTTTAGAAAATTTGGGTCAGAGAAAAGCAAAAGGTCAGTGAAAGATGACAGAGTGGATGAATAAATCTGTCCATCTGTCAGTCCATCTGTTTGTGTCACATTGACAGCAATGGAAAGTAACTGCACACAATACTTTGTGTAGCGAATGCGACACACAGCAAGCCTTCAACTTTATCTACAGCAGCATAATTTTGTAAGGGTCGGCCCACGTTTTGATCTTCATGAATGGGATTTTTTTTTAAAAGGCCACGGTGGCGAGCCTTCTGTCACTGGCAGTTAAAAGATAGCAGTTGACACCCATAAAAATGATTACAATGTCAGTTTACAAGCTGTAGTTGGTGTACACACACACACACACAGTCATTTTCTCCTTTTTCATATACAAGATGAGATCCAGCTGATAACCTGTTTATGGAGCTGACACACAATCACTGATAGTCGATGCAGCACAGCTTCCCTCGCTGAGAGCAGGTTTGTTTTTCAGCGTAGAAACAACCACACAGCGTAAATGTTGCAGCAGCTCCCTCTTTCTATACAGCGTCATTGCCACGCTGCACGTTTTCCCACGCTTTAGGTGCACACTGCTTGAGTGACATGTGATCTCCTTAGACACGTGTGAGGCAGCTTACCCTTTGAAGAGCAGATTTTGTTTGACATTCAGATGCAGCGTGTGCCACTGTAAGTCCGGGAGGCATTATCTTTAACACAGTGGCTCATTTCGTCACCCTGCAGGTCGTGCCCTGCTGAGGAGTTCATGAGGCAGGTGTCATAAATACATTCTTTCTTAATGCAATCGACAGGCATCAGAGGGACTCTTGTTTGACCAAGAAAATTACTGCGCTCCTAACCAAATATTAATATGAATACATTATTTCCTTTAATCGCATGTGATGCTGATTTCTCTCTTTTCTCTGCTGAAGTCATGTATGTGTAGATTAGTGTCAACAGCTCATCACACCAGACGTTTCTCTTTGCATGCACAAGGGGTTGCTGTTACCACACGTTTCAGCTCAGGCTCTCCAGTGCTGTGCATCAAATTGTTCCAGACTGCTGTGTCCAGTGTGCTGAATGTCTGCCCAAAACAGAACGAGCAAAGTATAAAAAATGAGCATGAAACGATCACAGAATTAAAGGTACCTTTATCTGCCACGATCTGTTTTCTGTCCCTCCATCCTCCGCTGTGCGTTGACTGCCTACTTTGTAAAGGCCAGTCATTTGAATACCAATAACTCTATTGTTTCCACCTCTTCAGCAGCATCTCTAGACACCAAGAAGTGTTAGCTGTTTATCTACATAAACGTGTCACACTTGAGCTGTTACTGTAATTGTCATTTTAACAAGTGACTGAGAAAGAGGCCGGAAAATCCTGATTAGCCAACTTTATGTTATTTTTCCCTTCATTCCTAATTGAAAGATTAAAAGCGCTGATGAATGTATGGTGGATTTAGATCATAGTAGCCCCTCCTTTTGATTACAGAAACTTAATCATCATCATAGTCAGCGGTATATATGTGTAAGCTGTGCTTGACACTTGCTGAAATTTCAGCAAACACACAAGTTGAAATCTCAAAAAAAGAAAGTATAAAATAAACCTAAATGCTAATCTTAGAGCTGCAACGATTAACTGAGTAGTTGTCAACTATTAAACTATTCGGCAACACATTTCCACAGAGGAAATCTGCCTGTTCGAGTCAAAGTTGAAGTGTGAGAGCAAATAACATCAAAGCAGTTTATTAGGTTATGTTGGCGACTCCTGAGACTTTATACTGCAGCTGGTTATGAATGAACCAATATTCAAATTTAAGCCATTCATACTAAAAGGAGAAGAACTGAGTAATGGTGGCAAAAACCAACTCCATCTTCTTCCACAGAATGCACTGAGCACCATGTGTGACTGACTCACATTATCCCAACATTAGTCATGGTTCTGTCCAACATGAGCCAAACAAGTGCATGTTTCTCTGCATATAATGTAGATGCTACACAACACTATTACATTTTGCTTCAGAAAATGAAACAGTCATTTAAGCTGATTTAAAAAAATACTTAAATAAACCCAACAGACGGCCCCTTTTCAGAGTATTTTAATAATTGATTCATTGGCTTGAGTCATTTTTTAGGATGAAAAACGTCTAAATTCTCTGATTCCAGCTTTGCAATGTGAATATTTTCTGATTTCTTTCCTCCTCTGTGACAGTAAACTGAATATCTCTGGGTTGCAGACAAAACATTTATCATCTTTGGTTTTGGCAGACAGTGACTGACATTTTTCACTATTTTTCTGACATTTTATAGAACAAACAACCGATGGAGAAAACAGCTGACAGATGAATGAAACTAAATTTTCATTTGCAGCTCTGGTTAATTTCAAATCAGATTGTTGTCAACATGAATTTATCTTTAGAATGAATTTCAGTAGGTTTAATTCACAAGAGAGGGAAAAAAAACAAGATGAAAATGCTGGATAAAACACATTGAATTAATTATCGTATTCAGTTATTGGCTGTATTTCCATGTTTGGTTTTAGCTGCATATTTGTAAGCTTATATTTGTGTACTTGAAGACGCCTACGCCTCTGAGGAAGGAGAGAGAGAGAGAGAGAGAGAGAGAGAGAGAGAGAGAGAGAGAGAGAGAGATGGGGGAGACGTGGAGGAAGAGACAGAGAGAGTGAGAGAGAGAGACTGCATGGACTGGAGGATTGTGCATCAGTCTACTGGCGCTCAAATGGGTAATTGCGCACACCGCGGGCTGAACTACAGCGGCGACTCCAACTACGACCCAAGTGTGAAGGCGTCCAGTTTCTGAGCGCCATCCGGAGATCAGCGGCTCTGAAGCGCTGCGGACAACTTGCATTTTGCTTGTGCAAGTGATGCTCAGTATGCGGACCGATCCTGAAGCTGCATGAACTGCGGCTGAGAGCAGTTTAACGCGCTCCCCAGAGGATTACTCCTTTCCCTCAGTTAACGATGGGTAAGTCATTATTATTAGTGGCACAGATTGTCAAGACGACAGCTGTGATCACTTCTTACTGGCACATTTCTGAGTTCCTAAACTGATTTTTTTTTTCCCCCTCTCCCTCCTAATGATAACTACAGCTGGTCTTTCTTTATGTGTCTGTTTATTTTATTAATATACCCCCTCCTCTTTGTCTTCCTTGTGTTTCTTTGTGTCTGGACATTTTCATCCATACCTTAAAAGTAGCAAACGTCAGACTGTTATCAATTCTTCATGAGGCAGGTCTGGTGTCTCAGACATCAGACTTCAAGCTGCTCCTCACTACATGACCTGAGTTAGAAGCATGAATTCCTCACCTTTGCTTAACCTGTTTTCTTTGAGCGCACATCTTGTAAAACCAAGTCAGCCCTTTGATTGTCTGTGCCCCACTCTACCCCCAACAGGTTCCGTGATGTTGGACTGGAGGTTATCATGTCTTCTTCTGCACGCAGCTGTTTTGCTGCTGCTCAGCAAGGGGGAGAGGATGTGCCCTGCCAGTTGTCGCTGCGAAGGAAAGATTGTTTATTGCGAGTCTGGCGTCTTCCAAGACGTTCCAGAAAACATCACCACGGGATGCCAAGGCCTGTCTCTGCGTTACAACAACCTGCTGGTTCTGTTGCCGTACCAGTTCGCTCATCTCAATCAACTCATCTGGCTTTACTTGGACCACAACTCCATCAGTGCCATAGATGCTTTAGCCTTCCACGGTGTACGCAGACTTAAGGAACTGATCCTCAGCTCCAATAAAATAAGCCATCTGCACAACAACACGTTCAGTGCCATACCAAACCTGAGAAACTTGGACTTATCCTACAATCAGCTGCAGTCTCTGCAGCCGGGACATTTCTACGGCCTGCGCAAGTTACAGAATCTCCACCTTCGATCCAACGGACTGAAGCAGATCTTCGTCCGCACATTTCTGGAATGCCGCAACCTGGAGTTTCTAGATTTGGGTTACAATCGCTTGCGGAGCCTCACCCGCACAACATTCTTAGGGCTGTTCAAGCTGAAAGAGCTTCATTTAGAGCACAATCAATTTTCTAGGATTAATTTCTTTATCTTCCCACGCCTTAGCAACCTACAGGCTCTTTATTTGCAGTGGAACCGTATAAGATCCATCAATCAAGGCGTTCCATGGACCTGGCAGAAACTTCAGAAATTGGACCTTTCAGGGAATGAGATCCAGATCTTGGATCCCGCTGTTTTCCAGTGTATGCCAAACTTACAAATTCTGAACCTTGAATCCAACAAACTGAGTAGCGTGCCTGTAGAGGCTGTGGCAGCGTGGACCTCCCTGACCGCCATCAGCCTGGCAGGCAATGCTTGGGACTGCAGCCCCAGCATCTGCCCTCTCATGGGATGGCTCAGAACCATCAGAGACTCCAAAGACATCAGCATGATATGCAGCAGTCCCAAGTCTGTGCAGGGCGAAAGAGTGGTGGACGTCGTGAGGAACCACTCGACATGTGTGGACATGTCAAATGTCTTCTCAACCACAGCTCTTGTCATTGTAAGTTCAACCCAGATTGGGAACATCACAACTCGCCCATCTTCTGCAGATATTACAGACCTGACCCGTACTGAGTCACCAGCATGGAAATTAACCACTTCATCTGTCCATCCTATTGGAACAGATAAAAAGACATTAGAGTCCCCAACGATGAGCTCCACATCCCACATCTCTCCTGAAACCCCCACATCATTTATCCCAGAGCTACCATTTGAACATATGGCTTTCCATAAAATCATTGCAGGCAGTGTAGCCCTGTTTCTGTCAGTGTCATTGATCCTTCTGGTTATTTATGTCTCGTGGAGGCGCTACCCCAACACCATGAGGCAGCTGCAGCAGCACTCAGTCAACCATAAGCGAAGGAAAAAGGCCCGCAAGCAGGAGCAGGATCTTAACTCTCAGTTGCAGGAGTACTATCTGAGCTACCACTCAAACTCGGAGACAATGGACTCCTTGGTGAATGAGCCAAGGCCGTGCACATGCACTATATCAGGATCAATAGAATGTGAGGTCTGAGCTGCCCACTCCACCTTAAGAGACATAAAGTGCAATTGCTAAGCAGAGGTAAATGGTTTTTTCCACAAGATTAAGTGGTTTTATCTCTAATACGAGATGATAGATTCTGCAGCACTGAGAAAAATACTGGGGGGCATAGTACAATATAATTATGTGCACAGAAATGAAGATTGGAATGGAGAGATATATTTGGAGAGAGCTCATTATCACCCTGACCGGCACAGGAAGCGTTGTGGGGTCAGCCGCGTTGGCTGTGTATGATCTAACATAACGACTGGACCTCTGCTACAGTAAAAGTCAGCTCTGTAGAGAGACTGATCTTATTCTTAGTCTTATATCGCCATAGAACATATGAGCCAACAAAGCCACCTTTTTACTTGCTAGGTTTTTTTTATTTGTTTGTTTTTATTATGTAGCTTGTAAAGCTCGCTTTCTTTTGATGTATGAGAGCGTATGTGTGGGTACGAGCGTTACAGGGATGAGCTGATAATCCCCCGGTTTACCGACATCTGGTTGGAAGATTTACAGTGTTGCACCTTATTCTCACAGATACTATATGTCCAATTGAATTATTTTGGATTTGGCATACAAGTGCAGCTATTAGCACTACCATAAGAGGTGGGGGAACAATCACGGAGAGAGCATCTTGTCCTCAGATCATTTGCATGAATCCATTCTCCTTACTTAGATGCTCCTCTCTCCTGTAAAATGATCAGATCTAACTGACAAAGAAAAAAAAACTATGTATATGTATATGTGTGAATTTCAGTTTAACGTGGAACAAGCCACATACAGTAAATTAACAATATTGAAAACCCATGAGTCTAATCTCAGGACTGATATTTTCCAAGCTGTACAAATCTGTCAGGTCCAATGAAGGCCTTGTGTGTGTCAAAAGTAACAATGTTGATTTTCATAACAAATTTTGTATTGATTATTCCTGTCATTATAATAATGCATTGTTTGTGTAAAGGCATAATAATATGGGTACTAGGCATTCTATGTGATAATGACTGTATAATTAAAAGAAACAACAACAACAGATAAAAATTGTGTTATTGATGAGATCATCCGGGACTGCAGCAGCACACGGAGAAAAAAGAAATCCCTTCAAATCCATGCATTATGCTGTGGATGTTGGATTTGCTGCTGCATGTGACGAGAGCTGACATATTTTCACGTGTCTTCCTTTTCTTCTCTCCTTTTCTTCTTGGAACTGAAACATCAGCAACAGCATTGATTGTATCTGGGCAGCACACCTCAAACTCAGGGGTAGGGGGCACATTTCAGTCCCTCCAATGTAACAGTGACACAAAGGGGTTTATTCTCAGTTTTCTTGTAAACAGGTTGTGCTTTCAGTGCAAGTGAAGCACAAGTAGGCGATGCCATTTTTCGCTTGTCCATGAGACAAAAAGAGTCCCCTCAAACCAGAAACAGATTAAGAGTCTCTGCTTTATGTAACCATGTATTCTCTGTCAGTTTGGAAATATGGCTCTAGTGCAGTGAAAGTACAGAGAGAATAGAAGCCGGCTGCTGTGGGACGCCGGGTGTTAGAGGTCAAGGCAGTTATACTATTATGAAGATATCATCCACCTTGGTCTGCCTCTTTCCCATCCTCCTTCCATTTCTCCCTGCCTCATTTTTCTTTCCCGTTTTTTTTCCCTGCAAGAAGGGAGAAAATTAACCAGTGCCAGGAATCATAAGTGCATGTGTTAAGCCAGGAATGAAAAGACAATGCTGGTGCTTGCGTTTATGAGCTACGAAGAAGGTGTTTGTTCCTTCGTGAGATTAAGTTGAAGACAATAATCCACTCTTTGCTGCAGCCTTTTCCCTCACAGCTGTCAGTTGATTTTTAAGACCTGTTGCCAAGTAAATACATGCCAGTTTCCTCCTTGTTGTTATTAGCTATTAGCATGTTCACACAGCTCGTGTGGAGCAGGTGTGGTAAAGTTTCTGACTGGTCAAAGGTTGTTCAGATAAGGATTTATGATCTCTCACAATCCACTCTCCAAACATGACTCAGGCTTTCTTTATCCTCCAGGCAGGCAAGGAGGCATGCTGCCAACAGAATTTATATCCATATATTTAGTTTCCAGCTCTTGCATATATGATGAATTTCTTTCACCAGCCAATGGGAAAATCTGCAAGGCTTTAGAAAAAATGTAATATGAACAGGACAAATGATTTGTTGATCTAATTTTGGCAGATATTGTAATTAGTGTTTGATTTGTCATATTGTGACTGATGAAAAGCAATTCCCCTTGCTTTGAAATGTTTTGGTGTTGTGTAGCTAAGAAAAGAATGTTGATTCGAGAGCTGTGGTCTGCATCTTGCAGATCATTATTGAGGATATTTGTTTGGATGAAAAATTGTGCGAGTGCGCTGTATTGACTTAGTATAACAATGCACAAATAGAAACACACTGCATGGGCAAAATCTGAAAAGAAAAAAAAAAAAAACCTCACCCTCTACTCTCCATGAAATATTTTTAATCGAGGTGCCTTATATACCATGAGATGCTCCAAGCAGATGAGCAAGGCCAAAAACAGAATCAGTAAAATCATGCCCTGAAAAATGCAGAAATACAGTGTGTCTTCTCCGTGCTTCCTGTAAACACTCGCAGTGAGGGGTAACTTGCTCAGCCTTCACTGGCAGCTGTGAAATTTTGATTCACATCTCTCACTGGGGGATCTTTTCAAAGTAAAGTATGTGTAACACTCTCTTTACCTTAGGTTATATTGGTTATTTTCAAGGTAGGCATAATTGTCCTAAAGCAGCAGTGATCATATTTTATTACCTTAAAACTACATTTTCTTTTAATTTGGTTGCCTGAAGTCGTATTATAAAGTAAGTACTTCAGAGCAATAATTCAGCATTTTGGGAAGTAGCTTATTTTCTTTCTTGCCCAGAGTTATATGAGAAAATTGATACCACTTTTCTGTCTGTCTGGTAAATACAGTAGAAAGCAGTGGATGTAGATTGCAGGTATAAGGCTCCTATTGGCCAAGCTTTTCGCATGGGATTCCCTGCTCCTTCTGCTGTCTACATTCTGTCATTTATTACAGGAAACCACAACCACAACCTTGAAGCAGCAACGTATCACACCGAAAATGTCAAGTTTTGCTGAAGATTTGGATTGTGCAGGAAGGCAGCCCTGCTAGGTTGTTGTTTTTTTCAGTGAATTTACTACTTTGGTGACATCGTCCGTCTCCCTGCATGCAGCTGTTTCACTAAAACAATTCCCTTGTCACTATTTTGCAGGAACACCTTCGCTGCATCCTGGGTTTAGCTACACCCAAGACCATTGTAATTAGTTTAAAAAAGTACAAACAAGCCAAAGCACTTATCCCCTATAGCAGAATGATAATGAGGTGCAGCCAGACCATTCTGCACAGAGTGGCTATATGCGACTAAATGTAAGGCTGCAGCCAGCAACCAGCACATCCAAAGTTCAGTAAGTCCCTCTTGATCATTGACTAAAGCCCTAATACTCATCACTATGTCTTAAAATTAAATTAAAATGACGTTATACCGTTGCCTCCATTAGAATGTGCCAATTGATGAAATCACTACCTCTCTCTACATCCACCTCTCCCCACTTACAACAGCTTGAGCACACCAGCTCACCTGTGCATCTGCTGTAAAACTGTAAACAAAAAAGAAAAACAATCACTGTAAAACTACTCCCTGCTTCATAATGTGAAACTGTAATATTGGAGTAATTCGGTAATACATCAATACAATACGACCAGAAACTGATTCTGAAGAAGATTAATGATACAAAAAAATTCATTACATATATATCACCCCTTGACATATGAAACCATGGCCGTGTGAATCCTTTTAAGACTGGTAAAGGTGAAAATGCTTAGCCAAGGTGCATTCGATGTCCTCTAGCTCAGAAAAACACCACAAAGACATGTTAAAAAAAAATGAAACACTTGATTTTCGACATGCTGCTGTTTCATCAGGAGGGTTATAGCTGAGAACAATAATTTCACAGAGCATCTGGTAGTTGCCTCAATTCCTCACATAGATTGTGTTCACATGCATACCAGTTTCCTTTTTATGAGACTTCTTCCAATTGGATCATATGGCATTTACATGAAGTGTAGAGGAACTGGTTATTCATATCCCCTAATACATGATAAATACTTGTATACTATATTTGTTACTGCATGCTGTTTGCAGGGGTCTGTTTTGGCTCAAATGCAGACCTGCAGTTTAATCCGATCTTCCTGTAACTGTTAGTCTAACCTTAAATTGATTTGACTTTAGCTGATAAAAATGAGTCCACTTTGGTTAATGGTGAGCTTAGCACTTGTGTGTGGCAGATTTGGTTTATCCACCTTATTGCCAATAGGAGACAAGAATAACAAGAAACAACAAATATGTCTCTCACTTCAACTGGTGTCATTCGTTCACTGTCACTGTGACCAAGTAGGACAATGGAGTGATGGATGAAGCCAAACATGCAGCTGTGACTGGTGGGATAAGGTCATCAGGATGAAGTTCAGTGACCCTAAGTGGAGAGAAAATTTCCGCATGAGTTGGGCATCCTTTTACCGGCTGTGTGACACAGCTGAACCGTTCAAGACAAGAGAGGAAACAACATGACGAGCACCAGTTCTGTTACAGAAGACAGTGGCCTTAGTGTTGTACAGACTGGGTAGTTGTGGGCAACACTGCTAAGTTGTTAACTAGTGTGAGGTTCACAGAAGCACAGTCAAAAAGAAACAACACTGTATGTATGTTCTGTTGTGGTGGACAAAGCTATGAGCCACTTCACTGAAGTCCCAGGTCAGAAGAAAGTCATGCAGTTGGTTCTGCGTCTGTTTTGGCTACATGCAACAGCATCCTGGTTTCTTTTGGAGTACTCCAGCTAGCATAATCAGGTTTCTCAAAACCAAGATAAGGGCTTCTCTAGGTTTCTGAAATGAGGATATGATGCACAAACACAAGAATGGCATCTAGTCATAACACTCAAGTCCATGTAAACG